CGACAGACCTGAACGTATGTTACCAGTGTATTTTTTACTTAACCACAGCAATTTTAATGCCTGTTTTACCGTGGCAAAAACTCTTAATTTTGATTTTAATTACAAGATAATCTTTGTGGAATCGAAGCTTATTGTTAAATGTTTGAAGTTTGCGTAACTTAAAAATGAGAGTAGACATGTTTTCTGCAAATAATGTTTCTACAATTATGTACACTAAACAGAACATGCTTATACTCTTCTAACATTTAGTACAGGTAGGTACTATACTTATTTACTAGAAAAATCTTATTTTATAGTCTACGACATATTAACCAACGTAGTCCTACGAATCTACCCAAGCACCCGCTACCAGGTCATCGAAGGTTTCGGTGGATCTGTCACTGATGCAGCTGCTATAAACTGGCGCACTCTCTCGGAGGCTACACAAGAAACCTTCATACAGTAAGAGTCTTTCGCTACTTTGTTACGTAGATGGAGTCTTAGGTATTATTTCATTTTCAACTTTATTGAAGAGCAACAAGGATTATGTACGTGCTTAAGCCGGCCTTTCAAAAGTTGATGGACACATTTCCATTTTTAAAATTGTTGTACACCGTATTATGCCTAAATCGGCGAACATGACAAGCACCGTAAATGCAACACGAAATAATTATTATTCTGGTGCTTGTCATGTTGAAGGTAATACGGTGTACAGCGATTTTGAATATCTACATGTCTTCATCAACTTTTGATGCCGAGCGTACCATAATGTTTTGTGTACTTAGAAATGTAAACAAATAAGTTAATAACAATCAAGTAAAGTTAAACAATTCAAGAACTGATTCTTGATGACAGTAACCTACCTACGATATAGTAGGTAGGTTACTGTCATCAAGAATCAGTTCTTGAATTGTTTAATTGTTTTGTTTGATTCAAAATCGTTCTTAAAAAAATCACGTTGTTCAATTTCAGAACCTACTTCGGCCCAGAAGGAATAGAGTATAACATGATCAGAGTACCGATAGCTGGTTGTGATTTCTCGGAATACCCATACACTTACGCCGAGAGTCCTTGGAACGATGCTACTTTGTCTAACTTTTCCCTAACACACCACGACTTCTTTTTGAAGGTAATATTATACCAAAAACTAGGTTTTTAAGATAAACTCTTTCTTATAACTACTCTACTATTCAAGAAAAGTGATAAGACTGGACTGCAATGACTACATCACTACACTATACTAGAGACGTCACTCGTAAATTGCCGTACATTCTCATAAGTATCTTTTACGTTTTAGCTGCCAATGATAAAAAGAGCACAGAGCGTTGCTCCAGATGAAATCAAAATAACTGCCAGTACCTGGTCTCCTCCAATTTGGATGAAAACCAATGAAGCGATCACAGGGTTTGCACAACTCAAACGAGAATACTACCAGGCTTTCGCTGATTACCACTTACGGTAAGTTATGTAATCCAAAAACTCAACATGTCATCGAGGCACAGAATTACATTTTAAGTATATTGTTATAACTGTATTTTTTTATTTCAGTTTCATCGAAGAATACGATAGATTTGACGTCAAGATTTGGGCGATAACCACAACAAACGAACCTATTAACGGCATTGTTCCATTCGTGCAATTCAACTCTTTAGGGTGGTTCCCTCATCAGTTGGTACGTATGAACTAATATCTTATGATATACAATAAATATAATAAAAGGACCTACGACTCGAAGTATGCTACATGTAGCAAAACTACGTCTGCGTAGATTCGTACCAGACTAAATAGCTACGACTGCATGGCCTCGTAGCACGCTACGTAACTACGACTGCGTAGCCTCGTAGCACGCTACGTAACTACGACAACGTAGCCTCGTAGTATGCTACGCACCTACGACTGCGTAGCCTCGTAGTATGCTACGCACCTACGTCTACGTAACCTCGAAACACGCTACGTAGCTACGATTGCGTAGCATCGTAGCACGTTACAGAACTATAACTGTATAGTCTCATAGTATGCTACGTATCTACGACTGCGTAGCGTAATAAAGCTACAAAGCTAGGAGTTTGCAAAATCGTAGCTACGGGTTATGAGTATTTTGACTACTATAACTGATGATAGTGAACTATTTACTGTTTGCAGGGTCGCTGGTTAGCCGACAACCTCGGACCTACGATAAAGAACTCGCGTTTCAACCAGACAAAAATCCTTGCTATTGATGATCAACGATACCTCCTACCAGTTTATTTAGCGGGAGTAAGTTTTAGAACCTATAATATCACGTATTTAATTCTCTAAGGAGGTGAGGTGCTCAAATTTGATACTATGCCCACTATCTACCAGCAGGCAGTACTAGCTATGTCTAGGGTATCATATAAAAGGTCTATTGTACTGGGTACCATTAAAGATGCTGAGAATTTCTGATAACTGAAAAATTCAAAACTGAGTTACCACACCTGGGAATCAAATCTGAATATCTATGCTCGGAATTATTGTGACGAGGCCAATCAAGGGTCATAAAAGAATACTGGAGATAATCTGCAACGATAGCTCTATGGATTCGTAACTATGCTACTTTTATCAAATAACTGCCTAGATACTGATAGGTATAAAAAATTGGTTGGATTTTTGTTTTTTGATTGCCTGTTTGTCACCTTAGTATTAGTAAGTAGCTTTTATCTCAAAGTGACGTGGATAATCTCGTAAAAAATATATTGCTCGTATGAATAAACTATTATCTAATTCGCAGATGGAGCTCGCAGCGCCTGAATCCATAGACTACATGGACGGAGTAGCTGTCCATTGGTACGGAAACTTCTTCCCGCCACAAATACTGTCAGCTATCCAGAATAGATACCCTGACAAGATTCTTCTTGCTACAGAAGCTTGTGAAGGTATTGTCTACCACCATGGCATCCATAGTTGGTTAATAACAATAACTATCGTGAGTGAGACATACAAAATTAATAAAAATACCGGTCTACTCACGTGAAATAATGAGAATCGTTCTACTACTTTCGAGTCACAGAGACTCTTTCTTTCATGACCAGTGGACGCGGCAGTGGATGAAGCGGCGCACCCTCCCGCGACTTCGCCGCGTCCTAGTAGCGTGAAATTAGTAGAGCTTTTCTCATTAAACTTTAACAATTTTTCATAAAATGTATGCATAGCATGTTTAATCTTCAGAGAAACTGTATAGTCTCCTAACACAGGCACATCTTGCTTAAAAGGAGTCCCCAAACACGAACCCCAAATTGTTCATTTTCATTACTTCATATATATCACGTCTAAATTTTTAGTTATTTGTTGAAAGAGTTCCTATTGATATTAATGCCGTGTAATAGTAACTGAATCAGAGGACAATTGTACATATTATACTTAACACAAATCCTACATAGCTATGTAGAATTCCTTTTTAATCTTTAACGGTAGTTTACATAGGTATTTTTATTGTATTTATTGTATTTTCTTTGTTACGTCGAATTTACTTCAGTTATTAGAAGTCACGTTAGCGTGTCATTTACGTGATTTGTTTAGAACTCGTTGTTTGCATTCGCAATTATTATATGTAATTAATGACCTAATAACAATGTTTTTATATTTATATATAGGGTTTTTAAATACTTCTTTTAATATTTCAGGTTCTATGCCTTGGAATTTAGATAAAGTAATTCTTGGATCCTGGAGGCGAGCTGGCACTTACGTCAAGAGTATCTTACAAGTACGTATCCGAATCAGGAAGTTTTCAATTTTAACTCGTCGAGTACCGGTTTTGTAGACACAATAATTATAGAACAATAGGTTGCGGTCACCGGTGACCGCTTGGTGTTTGACAGTTTAAGAAAGCTTTGAGTCACCCTATCAACAGGTCTTATTATTGACCTACTGATGATCTGAACAAATCTTTAAATAAATTCATGGTTATGAATATTGAAAGATTTCAGAGATAGTCGACATTTTGAATGGGGTAGTTTTTAGTCAGCAAGAGTCTGACACTCTCTCCCGGCTCACCCAGAGGGGAAAATCACTCGATGGTTTTCCCCTCTTTAAAAAAAAAGTCTAGACTGAATGTTGTGCATTAGTCGAGTTCAATACTGTGTTAGTTTGAGTATTTTTAGTGATCTGCAAACGCCGATTGTAGGTCATCTTACTTGAGAAGTTGTGTCAAATTTATATTAATAACCATTGTTTCTACTTTTAACAGGACCTGAATAACCATGTAGTGGGATGGATAGACTGGAATCTATGTCTCGATCCCATCGGTGGACCCAACTGGGTAGATAACTTCGTGGACTCACCCATCTTAGTATACAAAGACAGAGATGAATTTATCAAACAGCCTATGTTCTATGCTATGGGTCACTTCTCCAAGTTCATTCCAAGAGGGTCTCGACGCGTACGAGTGTCGCGAAGAAGTATAGCTAGCATCGAAAATGTAGCTGTGAGGAAACCGAATGGAAATCTTGTGGTTGTAATGCAGAACAGGTAATTTTTTTATTAGTTTATGATATTTTATGGGCTTGCTTGCCAAGTAGGACCAAATTCATTTAAATTTTTTTGATGGGATTTAGGACTTGGTTACAGCAGAACATTCCTTCGAGCCAATATATCAAGTTTAAGGAGTTTTTAATGGGTTTTAGTGGCCTAATACTTTGACTTAATAATCTCCTTTCTATAATATTATTATGAAAGAACTGGACAGATTACATAACTGTTAATTAGATGATAAAATATCAAGATTACATTTTTATTGATATAACTGACCAGAAACTATTTTGGATTGCCAGTTTCAAGATAACATTTTGAATGTCTACAAACTGTTTACTTATTCTGTTCTTTTATTTTTCAGACGAAGAAGACCAATGAATGTGGAAATAAGAATAAGCAGCTCTAGATATATTGATATTATTATGGAACCAAGATCAATTAAGACCATAGAAATTAATCCCTAGAATAAAAAAAAGTATTGACTAAATAAAATTATTTATTTATATAACAAATACATACTATAGACACAATTTTGTTTTTATTTTGGCACCTATAATTAGGCAGTAATAAAAATCAATACACTCTGTGCACTACATTAAAAAAAAAACATCCTTACCATTGGTAATTAGTAGCTTTATCTACATCACTTGGACGCTTAGTATAAAAAAAAAACATCTCTAGTTCAATATCACTGGTTTCCTAGTATTAGGTATTCAACATTGGGATATTAACGCAATTTTATCTAGAGGCCAAACACGACAAACAACTCTACTTCTAATGAGTCCTTCAGGAACGGGGCCGTAAGTTCTAGAGTCTGCGGAGTTATTGGAATTATCCCCTTCTAACCACACATGGCCTCTAGGAACTACTTGGTTACGTTTAGGAAAATTACCTCTAACGCGGTCACCTGGAAGACCAGTTATTCGTTTACAAATATTCTGTCTAGGGTTAGAAGGGCTCCGACATATTACTATGTCCCCGCGCCGCAGTCGTTGCAACCGCGGAGATACGTGTTCGGTGAATAGTATGTTGTTTGTTTGAAGGGTCGGTTCCATTGATGGACCAGAGCACTGCAAGAAACGAAAATACAGGCTTATTACGCAGTTACTTCATAGCTATCAATGTAGTTTGTATTATTGTAAAGAAATTACCATGACGAAGTCTCCGACGTATTCAAAAGTACAGTGAGTAATACAAGCCGTTTGTAGAGCATATCCCATGAAGCCACAGGCTTTACCAACTATTCTCGTAAAGGCCATATTTCAAGGTTGTGTTTTCAAAACAGGTAATGTTAAGATTCCAACAAAATTGTCATTGCTTTATGTGTCAACTGCACGATTGTTAATCGTTCATTGGTCTTAAACTAGATATTTAATCGAGAATACATTAAAATAAAATATTACTAATTTTATTAATAATAATAGAATCGTTTTTGATGCGGTGACATTGACAATTTGACAAACAGAACATCTGTCAAACGTAGAAAATCATAATACTGCTACGTCAAAGATATGTCAAACAAACAATACGTTTCTTTAGGATTCTTTTCATTTAGGATTCTACATGTGCAGAAAGATTTGGCCAACAAAAAAACTTTAACAACCCAAATTAAAGATAATTGCTTTTCTCAAACACAAACTTTCGACCCTAAATTATCAGTACACTTTTCTCACAAAGGTTTGTTGCATCATGTAGAGTCCAAAATAGCGGATGGCGATATCCGTGGTGCTGCTAGGGTTCTATTTAGTAGTGATGTGGTTGCTACGTACTCTGCAGAGGTAGTTACAACCCTGCAGAGTAAACATCCTTCCCCGGCAGATGACCTCATCTTTCCTGACCCACCAAACCCTCAACTCCATTCACTTTCTATTACTGCACAACAGGTTCGCGCGGCCGTTGACTCCTTTCGAAATGGTTCAGCTGGCGGCCTCGACGGCTTGACACCACAACATCTGAAAGATCTCGTGTGTTCGAGCGCCGGGGAGGCTGGTGAGTCCCTTTTGAAGGAGTTGACGGCCTTAATCAATCTAATGCTCTCCGGCAATGTGAACGAATCCGTCATCGATGTCTTATACGGGGCTAACTTATGTGCTCTGCGTAAGAAGGATGGCGGTATTCGTCCCATTGCTGTAGGTTGTACATACAGGCGTATCGCAGCCAAAATTTGCTGCGCCTATTACAATGAGTCTTTGGCCAGCAAATTCCAGCCCTCACAACTAGGCTTTGGTTGCAAAGGGGGCTGCGAGGCTGCGGTACATGCCCTATCCACATTTTTAAACAGTAACCAAGGTGAGGTCGTCTTAAAGGTTGACATTAAAAACGCCTTTAACTCCGTAAGCAGGGACGCCTTGTTGACTGAAATTCTAAAAGAAATCCCCAAAATTTACAGTTTTCTTTGGCAATGTTATAGAAACCCTTCAAAATTACTGTATAAGGACAATTTAATAGAATCGGCTGTTGGTTGTCAACAAGGAGACCCCCTTGGGCCTGCCATTTTTAGTTTAGCTATAAATCCTATTATTCGTGAACTAAATTCCAAATTTAATGTATGGTATTTAGACGACGGAACTCTAGGAGGTGACGTTGACATTGTTTTAAAAGATTTGACTATATTAAAAGAAAAACTGAGTTCTATTGGCCTTGACCTAAATTTATCAAAATGTGAACTATACATTCCTGACTCTACAGACAGACTAACGACTCTAGCAAAATTTAATCAAATAGCTCCAAATATCAAAATTATTGATAAGTACTCACTTCACCTCCTAGGTTCACCAATATTCGATGAATGTTTTCCTAAATTCATCGAGGACAAGATACAAAATTTCAATCACATTTCGGATAGATTACACAAAATCAACACACATTCGGCTTTCACCCTAATTCGGTACTGTTGTTTTGGACCAAAATTTACTTATATTCTCCGCGCTTCACATCTATGGAAACATTCACACATTTTAGAAAACGTAGACAAAATTATCAGACACACATTGTCATCCATACTTAATGTGGCTTTGGATGACCGAGCTTGGCAACAAGCTACTCTTCCTATTCGCATGGGAGGGCTCGGCGTCCGCAAAATTTCAAGTATTAGTTTACCAGCTTTTCTGTCTTCGGTCCACAGTACCTCTGAATTGGTCAGGAAAATTCTTTCTTCGTCACTGACCAGTTTTGAGGTGCCGTGTTTGACTGATGCAGTGGAAGCGTGGAAAATGGCTTGCCCACTTACGGATTTACCTGTTCATCCATCTTCTCAGAGACAGTGGGACGTGCCGCTGTGCAGTGTTATTCGTGAGTCTTTAATCAACTCGTCTCCTAATACTGCAGAGCGAGCTCGCTTATTGGCTGTGGGAGAATGGGAATCAGGATTGTGGCTTCAGGCACTCCCGTCACCCTTCATAGGTACTATGTTGGATGACATAACGTTCCGCCTAGCTGTATGCCTACGTTTAGGTGCTCCTTGTGTTTCTCCGCATTATTGTCACTGTGGAGAAAGAGTCGATGGCTTGGGACACCATGGTCTTTCTTGTTGCAGAAGTGCAGGCCGCATAGCTCGCCATGCCAGCATCAACGACATCATTCGTCGTGCTCTTGCCTCAGCCGGTGTACCAGCCGTATTAGAACCTAATGGTTTGGTACGTGATGACGGCAAAAGACCAGATGGTATGTCGTTGCTGCCTTGGAAGATGGGTAGGCCTTTGGTGTGGGACGCGACTTGTGTAGACACCCTTGCGCCATCACATCTTTTAAGCACCATGTGTAGACACCCTTGCGCCATCACATCTTTTAAGCACCGCTGCATGCGTTGGTGCGGCTGCTTCCGCGGCAGAGGCCCTCAAACGGCGTAAATATTCAAATCTAGTGGGTAACTACTGTTTTGAGCCGTTTGGGGTCGAAACACTTGGGCCATGGGGTCCCAGTGCACACTCTGTGTTTAAAGACATCGCCCGTAGGCTAATCGACTCTACACGTGACCAGAGGGCTGGCTTTTTCTTCGGACAGAAAATAAGCATTGCCATTCAACGTGGCAATGCTGCCAGTCTTCTGGGAACTTTCCCCTGTGATAGTGATGCGGACGAATACTTTGACGCCTAAATTAAGGGTATAATTTTTGTTGTTTTCTTTTACTTTCTTTTTTATTTAATAGTTTAGTTGTAGTTAATTTTAAGTTGTAAATATTTATGTAGTTATATAAATTATGATATTTAAATAAACAAGTATAACAATACGTTACCTACGTTCAGGAATTCCTTTCAGCTACTAACATCTAAAAACTACCACAAGGTTAATTTCAACGGTTCATTAAATACATCTTAATAAAGATGTTCAATAATTATATCGCAGATAAGTTGGCTAATAAATTTCAGTTACGGTTCATTAAACTGCCGTCACCACTGGACACTGGCAGTATAGTCGACAAGATCGTTTTGGAGACTCGTTTGCCAAAGAAGAGAAAAAAAAAATACGTTCAGGAATTAGATGTCTATTTGTTAGAGCTACGAAATTCGAAACTGAACAAAATTAATATGAACTATTACTAAATGAAAATATATACAACTTAAAATAAAAATATATAAGAACTAAAATATTTACACCTTAAAAAAAATTAAATTTATATCTTTGTAAAGAAGATGTGCACTTGGTCCCCACGGCCCTAAAGTTTCAACACCAAACGGTTCGAAAGCAAAATTGCCAATCAGGCTATCATATTTTCGCCGTTTGAGGTTCTCGGCAGCAGCAGCGGCAGCACTGGCTCGATACGCTGAGTTTGGAAGATGAGATGGCGGCAGAGTATCAACGCAAGTTGCGTCCTATACTAAAGCCCTACCCATCTTCCAAGGGAATAATGACATACCGTCGGGTCTCTTGCCATCGTTGCGCACCAAGCCATTGTTCTAAAGTAGCTGGCACGCCAACGGAGACAAGAGCTGCGTGTCAAGCAAAACGACCCGCACTACGGCTACACGACAAGCCGTGGTGTCCAAGGCTGTTGACATCTTCACCACAACAACAACAACAACGATGAAGTTGACAAAATGAAGCCCCAAGCCTTAAACAAATTGCAGCGCGGAATGTGGTGTCGTCCAACAAAGTACCTAAGTTGGACGAAGACAAAGCAAGAAGCCACAACCCCAAATCCCACTCACTTTCGCTCACTTTTCTGCAGAGCGGCTCGTCAATATTTGGGCAAGCGATTTTCCAAGCTTTCACAGCTTCCACTAAACATGGTACATCAAAATTAACCAGTGATTGAGAAAGAATTTTCCTGGTTAATTCTTCAGTGCCATGGGCGGAAGATATGAAAGCCGGTAGGCTTACACTGGAAATTTTACGGACGCCAAGCCCACCCATGTGGACAGGCAGAGTAGCTTGTGCCCATGCTCGGTCGTCGAGAGCCACATTCAAAATTAAGGACAAAGCTTGTCTAATGATTCGGTCAATTTTTTCCAAAAGGGACCAGAGGTGGGTTCAGGAATGGATTTTTTTAACGAACGACATCGTGGTATAACTTAATGGAGATATAGACGAATAGAATACCAGTTAGTGTTGTTTGCTGTAAATTAATAAATATAATGTAGCAGTAAAGATATTATTGAAAGAGCATAAGAAAAGAAATCATACTAAACCAAATAAATATCATAAAATGCTACTTAGTCGATTTTATAAATAGTCGAGTGGACACATCTCGAATGAAATGATATTGAATTTGAGTTGGTTGACATAATGACAGCAGGCAGCAGGATCAAACAGATTATTGTGTGGAATTCGCTGAGACCTATCGAACTTAGCGATTCATCGTAAATTTGGTTACAATAAAGTGAAATAACATTATCCACGGTGCACTAAACGTTTATTTGTTTCTTTTATTCATTGGCTTCACATCAAAATTTAAAGTGAATAAAAATTTCTTGCGACACGGTTAACCCATCAGCTTTCACATTATTTCGTTTCTATATGATTATTTTCACAGAAATTAACGGGTGCACTATATAAGATATTTGTTTTCGACTTCTGCAATAGTGTTAGATGTTTACGTTATCCAGTATTCGTGGTGTTCTATGTTTATGCCTGGCTAAATTAGAATCAATATTGCATTTGAACCTATTGTTGTGAAATGAGTGTGCATATTTAGTATACCACTATCAAGTTATGAGCACCTGATGGAAGATTAGCATCGCCGCCGAAGCTTAGGAATTTCATACCAAGTGAGTATTTTTTTAGTTCAGGGTATTTGTTCCTATATCTTGAAATTATGCATGAGTCACGCACGTTTCGTTGTCAGGTTTACAACTGATATGAATAAACAATGAATTGTTTGGAATAAATCAGTTAATGTAAGTGTAAAATCTCTTATTTGTTACTACAAATACTTGTTTGGTACCCTGTAGTACCAAATTATGGTACAAAACCGATTATAAACTCTTGTAGTTACTTTAAAACCAATATCCACAGTGTTACACACTCAGTAATAATTCTGAAGTTAATTTGTAAATTTAACAAAGCAGATTGTATGGCCCATGATAAGTTTATTTTAGACTAGACTAGAGACATTGCTTTGTTGGCTAATACTAAAAATTTTATTAAAAACAATAATTGAAAAATAAACTTAGTTTCTGTTGCTAACAATATTTTGGGCATAATCAGAAAAAGATAAAAGACAAAATTGTACAAAAACTTGTCCTATAGTTCCACCCAAATACAAAAATAAGCCTATGTCAATATACTTGCAGTACAGCTTATAATGCATAGTTAACATACTTAAAATAACGAAACTTCTACAATGTCCTCAAATATTTATCATCAAACATATCTCCTTCTTTTTTATGTCTGTATCTGATAAATCTTAAATTATTCAGAAATCACTGAAGTGCAATAAATATTGAACATTAAACAAATGAAACAATGTCTTAAATGTTTTATCACTTAAGTACCAGTTAGGTCTAATCCTTATTAACTTTTAATTACCATAATAATTGATTAAATTGTTGCAAACTGTGCAGTATTTTCTAATGCTGGAACTAATCATACGCACCTTTATTACCTTCTCACATCTGAAACAAATTTAGAAAATACTAGGTATTTTAATTACCTAATATTTGAATTTACATTATTACAATTAGACCTGGCTATTTCATGAAATTAACAAGCTAGTTACTGCAAACCCAAAGTTGCCTGAAAAGTAGGAACTATGGAAAATAGGCTATAAATCTTTTTCTGCCGTACTCTCGACAGTGCTTATATATACTGTAGTTATTTGGAATTGCTTAACAGAGTAGTTATTAAGTATTCAGATTATTAGAGGTCCTACTGTGCTGCTAATTAGTTGTCCCTATGATGTCTGAACTTTGCTCAAATTTATTCATTTACAAGCATAAGAATTAAGCTAAAATGCATATAAAATGTAAGTGAGTCACTGATTTCTTGTGAACAAAAATAATAATGGTTTTATTTCTTCAACAGATACCATGGGGAGGTTTTCGGGTAAAAAATGCCGACTATTGTCGATGTTATGGCTGACTGGCAGCTTCTTCTTTGTGGAGCTGATTGTCGGCTACATCACCAACTCTATGGCCCTAGTTGCAGATTCATTTCATATGTTAAGTGATGTTGCCGCACTTGTTATCGCATTTTTATCAGTTAAGGTAAGTTTCCTTGTTTTGTTAATATTATATACTACATCCAGAAACAGCGTTTTGTTCCTCTAAAGTAGAGTGGATGCATATATGCACTTATCAAGCAAATTACCCACTTGATCGCCAGTTGTGTTGTGCTACAACATATTGAAACAACAATTTGTCGATGACACAAAGTGTTGTTCCATGCGGGAATCGAACCCACGTCACGTTGCATGGCAGCCGATTGCCTGGCTACCGCACCAACCGTGTAGTTGTGTCGTCACCAACCCCATGAATATGGGGTGAGCCTATCCAGACACCAGGGAATATTGCTGACAATATTATCAATTACAAAAAGTTTACCCGAATTAGTATTTTAACGCAAGACGCCATGCTCTTTAGTTGCGCATGCGATCAACGGATATTCCCTTGTTCCATTAACATAAATTGTATATTGATAATTTGTCTGTTGTTACAAATTAAATATTAAACATACGGCCATGTTTGTCGTCAATTGAATGTATGGTTTTTATAGTCCTTTGTATTGGTACTTATTTGTATTGTACGTAAAGTAACTTACTTTCGTGATATCAACCTTTATGCTAATTAATGTTGTGACTTATGTCTGGTTTCTATGTTAAGACAAATATGACTAGGAAAAGAATAGATAAAATTGTAATTGTAAATGAACTTTATACTTCCCGAATATAAAATACACACGTATAAAATGAACTCTTGTCCTCTTCCGTTATGTGATCCATGTGAATGTGTTATTGAGAATTTTCCTGTTAATGAGTGACCTAGGGATACAATCGATTAAAATCTAGGACCTTATTTTCGTATGACTAATTTTAATAGAGATATTTAATTAATTACCGAGTGTGTTGTTTTTAAGCGGTTATCCTTATCTATAAGGTTGATGTAAAAAATAACAAATTCCAAAGCAAAAAATGATATTTCCTTATAAAACAAATTATTCTCATGAACCCGTATATATTCTCACATCACTTTAAAACTTGTAAAACTGATTTAATGAAGCGAATGACGTCATGACATCATCACGGTAACCGTTTAGGAAATAACGCGAAGCCCCGTGTATCACATCTCCAATCGAGTGACTCATATAAATTACCTTTAAAAAATCGTATTTTAGTGACGTCATGTGCTACGTAATACTTCGCCGAATTTAAAACTAAACCATTAAAGGATTTTAAAAGTGGGTCGCAAATGAAAAATTTTTTGCATTGCAATCGAATGATTCATTTTTAACTATAGACAGCAATATCCTCGTCTTTAGGAACTTATTACAAAGGGCAAACGCACCCACCATCCACGAAAAAATATAAACTGACGCAACAGTATATTAAAAATAAACCTATAACATAAATTCAAATAAATTGTGAAAAGTGGGTGTGCAGATAAACTAAACTGTACTGTGAGAAATGATCTGTTTAGCTTTCGGGGAGTATGGTGGAGCCCATCGATTCTAATGCCTAAGCATACTTAAATAAGAGAGTGTTTATTTGTAACTAAACATGATTCTTTGTACACAGATGTCGCCAAAGAAATGGTCAAAGAACACATTCGGGTGGGCCCGTGCCGAAGTGTTGGGCGCGTTGGTCAACGCAGTGTTCCTAGTTGCACTGTGTTTCAGCATAACTGTTGAGGCAGTCAAGAGATTTATAGAGATTGAAATGATTCACGATGCCAGACTGCTGGTCGCCGTCGGTACTCTCGGTCTGCTGCTCAACATCGTTGGCCTGTTCCTATTCCATGGTAAGTGTCTTGTGATTGTTCTTGAGCTAGGTACTTTAATAAGTGTTGTAGGTTAAAACGTTTTCTCATCAGTTATTTGAATCATTGATTTAGTCCATTGCTTTTGTATTATACAATACACAACACAATATTGGGGACAATGTTGTATAAAGAATAATTTGCTATATAGAATTATTAAAAAAGCCGATACAGTAATCATTTGTTTTGATCGCCTAATACCTTAATACCATTATGCTATCGTTCATCGACCTTTCTAACTGCACTTTCAATAAGATTAAGGGATTTGACACCTATCTATGTATGCCGTAGTAGTAGACGTAAACAATATTTTCTTCATAGTACAACACTATGTTTAAATAGTTAGTGTCATCTATGAAATGATTGATTCCAGCCAACCTAAAAACAATATGATATTCGCTATAGTAGATATCATTCAAAACCTTTATCAAGTCATGTAACTACCCGTATAAATCAATCAGTTTCAGATATCATTCAGGTAAAATAATGCATAAATACGAAGTTATTGAGGATTATAAACCAAGACCAAGCAATAAAATACGTTCTTGTTCAATGGTTTTGTGTAGGTAATAGAAATACAAAACATCGATTTTGTATTCAAACTGCGTTTAATAATCCTGCGTGCCGCTACGTCCCGCCTAAATTTTATTATATCAATCCTACGGCTAAAGCATTGATCTACATCTAAAGACACGCAATCAGTTTCGTGATTTTAAAATTTTGTAATAATTATGTTTCATGACAGTCTTTAATTATGTAGCTTTTATTTACGAAGATTCAAAAAATGGATTGATTAATAGAATAAAATATATACGCTAGTGTTATAGCGGAATTGTGATGGAATTCCCTAGGGGAAATCCTAGGTCCCATGCACTTTTTTGTCAGTAGCTCACCAGTCAGAAACCATTATGATGATGGTTACTAAAGACATCAGTTGTAGTTATACAGTAGGAGAGTGCGAGAGTGACAAATAATCCATTCTTAGTAAACAAAAAACGTGTTTACCTCACAACAAAAAAATCTAATCTTAAGAACCTCGAGAGATGAGAGTAAATTAAAGCTTACAGTATTTCGACCTTGTTGTTACGTCAGAATAATGCAAACATTCTTTACGACCGGTATAGGCAGTGGACCCACATCATAAATATTTATTGCTTGTTTTTAAACAACTGACCGAGTCGGATTTTGAATTTTTCTAACGTTAGAATTATTTTTTTCTTACTTCCTCTCAGGAATCGTTTATCGATGTTTTCCGATTATAATTATCGAATTCATTTTGTGATACATTATTAAAGAGGCATAATAATTCAACTTGATTCTTTTTGGAGGGTCAGTTTAAATAGTTAAGGCTTTTATACGTAACCAAAATGATTACTATGCTATAGTCAACTTGATGTCAGAGGTGTACGTAGGAAATAATTCATGTTTGTACTGAGAGGTTTTGTTTGTGTTGAAGTCATGTTTACTATTGCGAGAACGTTTAGATTGCACGGTGGTTCTAATCCTAAAGTTCCCGCTCAGTTACGAACCACTGTGTATATCTGCAAGCCTAGTTCAGAAGTAGGGCTTAAAAGTTATGTTTCAACTCCCTGCCAACATTCTATTCATTCTAAAGAACATTGGCATACAAAACTACAACGGAACTAACAGCACTAAACAAAAATTAAAAGATTCATTAGCAATGTGTAATGTTTATTACTTAGAAGTAAAATTAGAACATTAAACTCGTTGTCTTGGGCGCCTTGCCTTATCATAATCACCGATACAGTTTGCTCTACATTTTAAGTGGTTTCTGTTTGTTTATATCTTGAAGAATCCTTTACCTAGTCTAAAATAGACTTAAATCCTATTATTCATGAAATTTATTTGTCGTAGATCATGGTGGTGGTCATGGGCACTCCCATGGCGGGGTCCCACCGCCAGCAAATGTAAGGCATCTCACGGAGATCGTGAACAGTAATGCTGACATGGCCTTGGGTCATAATGCTACGGACACTGAAGAAACTGACGAGATGGTCCCGCCGAAGCCCGACAAAGTACCAAATAATAAGAAGCAGACTCCATGCAGAGCGGCGCACGACCCCGGACACATGAATATGAAGGGCGTGTTCCTGCATATCCTATCTGATGCTTTAGGTGAGTGATCTTATGTTGTTTTAAACTCTATTTTATTTATGTGATGATCTCTTGAATATAAGGATATTGTTCGTATTATCCTACTTATGCGTTTTTTACTTTTTAATTGACTAGCTTTTATAGATAGATTCCGATCCTGTTGGAATATTATAATAAAGTAAATTAAGCCATACCATTACTCCCTTAAAATTAAAATCCTATCAGAACCCATTTGATACACGCACACACACACACAACACAAAATGTCACTTGTCTTTATAACTAACAAGCTTCTGCCTGCGGTTTCGGCCGCGTTCCCATGGCATAAAAAGTAGCCTATGTGTTATTCCACACCATAATCTATCCATGTTCCAAATCTAATTCTAATCTCTTCGGCTGTTTTAGCGTGATTCAATAACAAACACACACGAACTCACATACTTATTCGCATTACTTAATATAACAGTAAGATTGAATATCTTAAAGATGTATGTCTGCGTGCTGTGTAAAATTAAATAATAGGAGAAAGTATACTTGTAATTGTGCGCGGATTTTAATTGCTTCCATTGAGTTAGATGTAGCCACTTGGCGACTACGTAAGCAATACACGTGGTTATCGCAATCTATTAGGTTTCTTTTGTTTCTCCTCATAGTCTCACTCTGTTAAATACCATTATATTTTACGTGGAGAATCAGTTATGCTTTGTTCGCACTATGCTAGTATTTTAGTCGAGTAGCGAGTTTTTCATAGTTCTCTCTCGCTTTGATTTTGGGTCAGAAGCGAGAGAAGGCTACTAAATGCTCGTCACTAGACTAAAATACAAGCGTAGTCAAAGCGTAGTCCTAATCAAATCGTTCATACAAGAAATATACTGAGTGTACAAACAGAACATTGCCGAAATGCTGACAAAAACAAATTGTTCTTACAATTTTAATCTTTTTCGTGTTATTCATGCAACATCAGCCTTGAACAGTTGAAATAGGTTTTTTTACCATCACCATGTTGTAAGGGCCAAATACTCAAACTACACTTTAACTTAAAACAAATAGAACTTAAATGCAACTTGTAATTGAGTAACATTCCGACGTTTTCGTGTACTATTTGTGACTATTTGTGAACTTTTAGGGGAATGAAATAAAAATATTAATAAAGTTATTAAAGAACCTATGAAATGTGCAGATGAACAGAAGAACAATCTACTTATTCGCGCGGCCATAACCAATGAACGACTACACGAGTATAAATAATTAATTTATTCACGCTCTTACGCACATATACGTACTACCTACGGTACAAAAAGCAGGACTAATGTCATCATTCGAAGAATAGTGATATATACCTATGTGATAATATTTTGTTTGATTTTTCCTTAAATCTATTTATTGATTGCCACATTTCTATGGTAACCTCCTCTAATTAGTGTGTTAAGGAAAACATTATTGTTTTTCCACTAAATGAAATCGAAACCGGAAGAGATCATATACATAAATATTAATAGGAAAAATAAAATCACACTGACTCTATTTGTGCTCGCTAGATGACCTACTACCATGAAAAATAAAAAAAAACAGCTGGAATTCTCCGATCACATATCTATATTATAAAAATAATATTTTATTGTACACTCATGTTCTAAAGCGATCACTTTAAACGAAGTATCTAAATAAGGGCCAATTTTTCAATGAACAGATAATTGTAGACTTTTAATTGTAAAATATGATTTACATTTGACATCAATTAATATAGAATAATTGTTAAATATATATTCAAAAATTATTCGTTTGAAAAAAAATCGGCTTTAAATCTAGTTGTAAGTGTGAAAATTGCAATATTTGTATATGTATATGCACAATCACTTATATTTTATCTTTACTGCAGTCATTTAAAGGCACACGAGCAAACTAAGCGAGTAACACTCGTAGATAATGGTACTAGGTAGTAGGAAAATCATGAATCATAGTACAGTACATACAATATAGGTACTAAATAGAATATAGAGCTCAGAGCCATTCATCTAAATGTCTAAACATAGGACCAAAGCCGGTGTTGGGGCGGACCTAATGTTAATCAAAGCAGAGCTGTAACATTTAGGTCACCGAACACTGCCTTAACCTAGAAACGTTTAGTTGAACTAGAGTTTAAACTAGCCGGTTAGTTCATCATAACATCACGCCTTTTATCCCTAAAGGGGTAGGCAGATGTGCACATTACGGCACTTAATACCACTGTACAATGTAACACCCACATTTAACTATTTATATTATGAGTCCCATGTAATAGAGGGTGAGTCTATTGTCATATACCGGAGACGATTCCAGACTCCGTGCCACTACTGAGATTGTTTTTTTAAAACCCAGTAATACGTTTGCCCTACCCGGGAATCAAACCCGATATCCCTTGCCCGGCAGTCACACTTGCCACTACTCGACCAACGAGGCAGCCAGTTAGTTATCGTGTTAAATATTCACATGTAGATCTGATTGCATTTGTTATTTGAATGACTATCATAATATATTGTTCGTATAAAATTATATTGATTGATAGAAATGCCCTTTCATAAACGTTGGTACGTGTAATTTATCACATGGAGACTTGTGTGTACTTATGACGTTCATCTAATAATCGCAAGTACGTCTCCTGATATTGAGTAATTGATTTTTTCCTACTATCCGTGTATGGATTATAGTTACAGACTCGCTACTATTATTACCATATAGGTCTAACATGACTTGAATGTAATTTGTTACTGTACTGAATAGTTTTCACAAAAGTATAATAGGTAATTACCTCTATTCTATGTAATCTAAATGATCTTATACTTCTTATACTGTCGCGGAGAACCTAACGGGTAACCGGGGCTCCGACTCGACGTGCAGGAGAAGGAACGGGGTGGTTTTTAGTCAGTAAGAGTCTGACACTCCCTCCCGCCTCACCCAGGCGGGAGCAATCATTTGATGATTTTCCCCCCTTAAAAAAAAATACTTCTTATACTATTATACTTTATATTATTATATAAAGCAGAAGAGTTTGTTTGTTTGAACGCGCTAACCTCAGTAACTACTGGGCCGATTTAAAAAAGTATTTTTGTGTTAGATAGTCCATTTATCGATGAAGGCTATAGGCTATAAAACTTCACGCTATGGATCAATAGGCGCTGAGCAGAGCTGGATGTAACCGCGCGTGGAAGTAGCTAGTTACTTCCAAATCTACGTCTATAAGAGTTATAGAAGAGAAATATGTACCCATTATAATGTTGATGCGTAATTTATACAAGATCCTACATAAGTATCGGTAAACAAATATCTAGCACGTCGTACCTTATTGTAAAATATCGCACTGTTTAGGTTTACATTTACATTTGAATTTGTAAAGGAATACTCAAAAATAAGGAAATGATTTATTTAAATTTATTTTTAATTAAAAACAAAATGAAGCTCGAAGGTTTTACCTCGAGTCGTGTTATGTTTTATAAATATTTATTTATGCTCCATGATTGAAACACAGACGGGGAATTTTTTTAAATTGGTTCATTAAAACCACTAGTTCTTCTTGTGGTAAGGGAAAATTACTTTATATTCCCATATAAAAGTATGACCTCATAAAAACAACTTAAAGAATATTTTTTAACCTAGAAAATAAATTTATGCTCAACAGACTATAGTCAAAGAACAGTTTCACCTAATACTTAATGAACTAAAATACCACAACAACACTTATCTACTAATTATTATATCATAGATGCATATTAAATAACTATCAATGTTCCCATAACGGGATTGTAGATCTTTGCCAAAATCTTCTTCGGACCTTGTTTGCCAAAAATAACATTTGATATTAATCCAATCCCTTATTTTAAAAGTGTGTAGAATGTGTGGGACGATAATAACTTAAAACATTCTTATTGACCGAAAACATAATATGCTAAACAGTTTTTCATTAACACACATTTTATTTAAAATAGAAGTGTCAATCGACTTTTGACCAAATACTCAAACGTCACGTAACTTTATGACATTTCTTTTATAAAAGTCGTGACACTTAAAACCAATATAAAAATAAAACCGTTCCATTATATGGCCGTGTCATCACTTAATATCATTTTTACATAATTTTCTGCCGCATACCCAGTACCTATCTTCTTGCGTAAAATGTAAGTCAATACCGAATAGTAATTTGAAACCCTTTAACGCAAGTAACACACTGTGACGTTATTGTGTTTCTCTCCATTCACTACTAACACGAGGCTCTACGGAGGAACCTTGGTACTTGATTCATAGCCAAGTTTTCCTTGACATTGGCTAAATACACTCGACAAGGAAATTGTTGATACAGCCGTGACAAACGCGAACAAAAAACAAATCTAAACTTTCCAACTCAATTTAAAAGAAAATTGGTAATTTATTTCTTTTGAACGTTTAATTAAAAGGTCGTAAATGTCGTGAAAACACATTCTAACTACATTATTATATAAGAAAAACATCAAACCATTCAATTAGTCAATTAAAATACAGATAAAACATAAACAGCGTTTAATTATATCGTTGTCGCTCGCTTAAACTTAGATTTATTGAGCCTTTAATTCATAAGTCATTTATGTTCATACTGTAATATTTATTAACTTGAGCATTCAGTTCATCAATTATTTCAAGAGGTCAACGGCCTACCACCGTTTACAAACTGCGCTCTGCCTGTATTAAAAGGAACCCTAAAAATGATCGTCCGAGAACTTATCGCAGACTTTAGGCATTTCAAATGATTAAACGTATTATGAAGAAGATATTCTAAGAACTTAAATTCTTTGTTTTTGTTTCCGGTTAGTACCAACTAACTAAATAAACGTATTATTTTTAATAAAAAGTCTTTAGAATGAGCCTTGAGGAAAAAGGATAACATTATAACCGTGGTGATAACTTTAAATTAAATAGCGTTTGAGTATTGGGCCGTGTTTATTATACAACAATATTTTATTGACTATTGTGTGTTCAAGTCTTTCCACTTACCTATTTGAAACTTACTCATTTACAGATAAGTATGACTTGAAAGTGAAAGTAAACACAATATATTCGTCATAATCAATTTAATTTAGCCACTTTTAATTTCATCCTGGCAATGTAATATCACCACCATCTTTGGGACCAGCATTAACTACACCTACGCAAGTACACAAACAGCTAACCATAATATGTTCGTCCCTGGTCCATTCAAAGGAAGTGTGAACATTAAACACCAAGTTTTCCTACTTGAACTATAACTATTGTATTATTCAGCTAGCTACGTTGTTGTTATTATAAACAGCTATTGTTGTAGGCCTTAATCGATTCCAGCAAATTAAACTGACCTTTCAAGTCTAAGGTTTCATTTCCAACCGCCTCGGTCAAAGCGTAGTGCATAATAAATGTCTTGGCCTAGAATAGAAAGAAAATTGGAGTACCCACATCAACCTGATTATCTTTCCTCGAAGGCAATTGAGGAAATCATCCACTTATGTATGCTCCTTTACGTTTCATAAATACCTCTAATTCCGTTTACTAACGTGTATTGACTATGATTCAAAATTGTCATCAAACTAACCCTTTATAAAGTGATTGGCCGTGGCTTCGCTCCCGAATTAGTTTTTCCATATTTGAATTATCAAAATAAATATAAAATAAATCAATCCAGCTGGTTGGTCTTGTTTCAACCAAAACTAGAAAATGGTTTCCAAATACAAAAAAATCACATTTTAGGGACCTAATGATGATCCTTTGGTGATTATTTAGACTGTGTCCTTAAGCCTTTTTCTTATACCTACTGAATGATAACCACATTCATGGCTAAGGATAGAAATTAGCATTATAGTTTCAAGGTGTTTCGAAGTCTACGTCTAGGCCAACTAATATTATTGGAAGGCATTTATACTGACTACGACTAATAATTAGCAATATCTATTGTCCTTGTCTATCGTATGATCATAAGTTACCATTATAAAAGTGTAATAAATGTACATGAAGTTTATTTTCATATTTTTCCGATGTATTTTCGCAGTTCTGCTCGTTGCAGCGGTAAATACTGAAAGACTATTATTATCATTATAAATGTACATGAAGTTTATTTTCATATTTTTCCGATGTATTTTCGCAGTTCTGCTCGTTGCAGCGGTAAATACTGAAAGACTATTATTATCATTCGAGTTGTTACCTAAACGCTGTAGCTAACATGTCATTGTTTAACATTAGCTAGATGGAGACCCTGGACAATGACTACCGATACGTCGATGACTGTCATTGACATTATTTCATTACAAAAACAAATGCGAAACAATAGTAACCTTGTACTAATTTCACCGAAGGTGTGATCATATCCGTCATTAATCTGATCAAAACACTGTTCATCGGTAAATGTTATCAAATATTGTACTTTGAAGGTTAAAATTACATCGATTTAAGATTAAAATCGTATGAAATTACGACATTTTGACGATAAAAGACTGTATGAATGATCAGTAGATAAATACGTACCTACTTGGTTCATGATCGATTAATTTTGTAATCTAATGAAGGGGAGCAATCATGGTGTTCTGTTTACGCACCCGTTGCACACACCTGGTATTTTATCATGTTGTGATAACCCTTGCTTTGTTATTGATTTGGAAAGTATTACAGTATTTTGTATGTAAACTATTTATGTAGTCTAATAGACTAATAGGGGAGCTTCTTGATATATCACAGCTGTTGTGTATCGGTATGTTGTTCTACGTTCGGTTGTTGCAGTTCTATATGTCTATACTGACTTTAAAACTTTACACCAAACAAATAAAACATCATAAAAGTTCTTTCTTCGAACTCTGTTCTCTTAAAAAGAATTAAACATTTAATTCTCATAGCGTGTGACTCTGCTTCCCTCCTAGAAGTAGAAATTATAGTAGTAATATCTTAAAGCCCTGACAAATATTTATTTCCATTGTTCCAGGTTCCCTAATTGTAGTTGGTTCAGCTTTAGTAGTATGGCTGACGGACTGGGAGTACAAGTACTACATTGACCCCGCGCTCAGTATAGTGCTAGTCATCTTGATACTTGCGTCCGTCTGGCCCCTACTCAGGGAGTCTTCGTTAATTCTACTACAAACTGTGCCAACACATATTCAGGTAAGTTGTTCAACATTAAATGTAGGTTAGTTTGTTATTCTCTTTAATTTTAAATTTACAAGAAATCTTATGATACACTAGTGCTCTTGGCGTTTGAGAACTCATTTCTCAAGTCTCACAATATTACGTTTTGCAAATGTAGGACAGTATATGTAAATGATTCAAAATCTTGGCTAACTCAGTGATTTTTCACGGTACTTAAAACAAATAAGACCTATGAGAGCGCCCGATCTTAGCCTCTAATAATAACAGGCCGCTGATCAGGGTGCTAACTCTTGAATCCAATTCCGATCGATCGACATTGTTATTGTGAAATATCGTACTCTTAAGTTGCAACACTAGAGCCCATTGCATCCGTATTGCGTGGGTATTTAATGAAGTAAATGGTATTAAGTTTGACTTTGTATTCCGTACTCTGAATGCTATTTTAACAGCTACGATAAGGGTTGTACAGTTTTGACATTAAATAATTATTGAGTTTTAATTGGATTGAAATTGTATTGACATTAAGATTGGTTTCAAGTGTAAGCAACCTGAAAAATTATCAATGTAAAAAACCAACTCGTTACTTATGTCAGATTATAAACGAGCTACTTAAGTAGGTCCTTTATACTGTAAACATCTTATATTTTAATGGTCTTTATCAGATAATATATTTAAAGTGTACTTTCTAAGTAAATTGCAAACAGCAAATAGGATTATGTTCGTACGTGCTCCTTGTCACCAAAGAGTGCCAAAAAAATACAAAAATATTTGTCTGACTGAACCTTGACCAATTTAACAGACTTGTAGATAATTGGAATGATTAATGGTATGTTTTGACAGTTCATAGCATTTTTACAATGAGTTAAAATACCGTTTTAGATAAATAACAATGCAAAAGCCTTGGAAATTGACACTTTCGGGTGTTACCTTCTATTGCTGAAATATTCATTGTTTGGATTTTTATTGTTTGCGGTGAAATGCGGAACTCCTATTTCCTCTGTGTTTATTGGTACCACAATAAATTGTACTCTCATTCAGCTGACCAGGTTTTGTGGTCGCAAACGCAGATAATGAACTTAACGGCTACATCCTACTAATATAAATGCGAAAGTTAAGCATATATATGTGTTTGTTACTCTTTCAAAGGGCTGAAGGAATCAAGATATAATTTGGAACAGGGGTATTATGGTCCAGATGGTCTTAGTAATAAAACATAGGACACTATTTATCCGCTGGGAGAATCTATATAGTTCATAATATATCAATATATTTTTTTATTTTACTTAAGATATTTTTGCTGCGTTAGTAAGAAATATAACAATAAATTGTAATTTCCAAAGAGCACGCAAAATAAACAAAACAACCTTAAATAGACTGCACGGTTGGTGCGGTGACTGGGCAACCGGCTGCCGTGCAACGTGTCGCGGGTTCGATTCCCGCACGGAACAACACTTTATGTGATCCACAAATTGTTGTTTCGGGTCTGGGTGTCATTGTGTATGTGAAGTTGTATGTTTGTAAACGCACCCACGACACAGGAGAAAATCCTAGTGTGGGGCAACGTTTTTAAAAAAAAAAAAATCAAACCGTTCGTAGTGTACCAAGCTCGTGTTATTATTAAATTTATTGTCGACACGAGTCACTTTCTACGATGTTAATATACACGGGTGCTACAATTGTTTGCTTATTGATAAGCTATGCAATTTATTTGTTCAGGTGGATGCGATACAGAGGCGTTTGTTGGAAAAAGTCGATGGCGTTCTAGCAGTCCATGAGTTCCACGTGTGGCAGCTAGCTGGAGACAGAATCATCGCCAGCGCTCATATTAGGTAAGCAAAAATTTTGACAACCCTATTTCGTCGAAGGTCGTCCAAGGCTCGAAGTGCAGGAGTAGGAACGGGATGGTTTTTAGTCAGTAAGAGTCTGACACTCCCTTCCGCCTCACATAGGCGGGAGAAGTCATTCGATGATTTTTCCCCCTTAAAAGTAAAATAAATAAAAAATTTAAGGTCATACTTTTCTGACTACAAATATGACAATTATTTTACTTAAAGCAATAGGAATATTACAGATGTGTCGATGAACGTGTAGACAAGAAATAATTGAAATAAAATTCTTTTGACATTGACCTTCGCAGGTCAAGGTCGTAGTTCAAACTCGTGCGATGCCCTGAGATTTTAGTAGACGAATAAATTAGTCTATTGTAATTCTACTTGAATTCGTCTGCTTTATTGGGACTGGGATAAATAGATATACTGCATATTATAATTAAATATTGGCTCGTTGGCCGAGTTGGTCGTAAGTGCAATGGGTCGGGCAAAATAACTGAGTTTAAAAAAAATCTTATTAGTAGCACGGAGTCTAGAATTGTGCCCGGTGTATGGCAATAGGTTCACCCCCTAATACATGAAACTCGTAACATAAATAGTGAAACGTACATTTACAAACGCACCTAACATTGTACAGTGGCATTAAGTGTCGTAATGTGCACCTCTGCCTGCTACTACTGCCACTTTCCTTCGTTGACGGGAGGACTAGCTTTTTGCTAGAGTGTAGAATTTTTACCTTACTAAAACCTCCCCCGAGGCCACCATCCGCATCTAAAGTGCTCTTATTTAGTACCTACTATTTGAAATAATCTAATTCATTATTAAACGAAGTTGTACTTGTAACATATATTGTTCATTGTATCGTGACCGACGCACTAGTCACATAATCCACTGAATTCAATAACACACTGCAAGATAAGCCACAAATAAATCTCGTTTATATTTTTATTACGTATTATTAAAGGAAGTTACAAATTAGTCACGCTAGTACTCCAAAGGGTGATAGATCATTGACTATAGAATTGAAGTGCATATGTATATTATACAAACTAAACGCATCACACATTTTAAAATTAAATTTTATTTATTTGCATACATAAGTTACACTACATGAAGACATAGAAAGTTCATATACGCAAACGCGACAGAGGTAACTGTGGGCCTCAAAATAGGTACAGCCTGTATCTTGGTGACCCAGTGTTAAACGTTTAGGCTAGTAAGTTCTCGCATGACCACGACCATGATGGTTGTGACACAGTGCTGAGTGCAACCACATAATATGGAATGAACTGAACACAAATATGAAAAATAATAAACAAATCTTTACTAACAAATTCAAATGATTACAGAATCAGACAAATGCAATTAAGAAAACATGTAAAAATTCCATGAAGTTACGCAATTCCAGACTACGTTAAGACGTTTAGAGAAGCGTCCATGAAGATCACCTCGAAAATGGGAAATTGTCAATTATATCGTTCACTTCTAAACATGCTTAACATGTTCAACGTGTAAAACGAATGTCAAAGAGAACAGTGACACACTAAAATAGCGGAATAGTGATAAACCTATTTATATGAAAAGGGGTCGAAATGGTGATTTAATAAAAATGAGAACGAATAACAACATGCGTCGCCAAATGGAGGCTGCATAGTTTAAATGGGAACATCAATAAACCTCTGCGTTGGTGGTTGGCTGCTCGACTCGACTACTTTCTTGGTCTGACATTTTTTTAAACGTTGCCCCACACTAGGGTTTTCTCCTGTGTCGTGGGTGCGTTTATAAACATACAAGTTCACATACACAATGACACCCAGACCCGAAAGACACAAAGAATTGCTCCCGAAGAATCTAACCCGCGACACGATGCATGTCAGCTGGTTGCCCTACCAACCTGCATCAACCATGCAGTTAAAATGTATTACTGTTTCTGATCTCATAATTCTCAGTACCCAGTTAAGAATTTACTTTGTAACAGTTTATTATTATGAAAATAAAGAAGAAGGAATTACATCAATTTAGTTTACCCATTACTGATTATTAAGTGTCTGACCGGAAACGCATAGTCTGGGTGCTGCTCATAGAAAACTTCCTTAGAAAAACTCTTAGGGACTTTTTCTCACAATTCCTACAGAAATGTAAAGAAATTATTGTGGGTGAAGTTTCTGGCAATTACTAAGAATATGATTAAGAAAAATTTAAATTAACAAACAACAGTGGTTGTAAGTCCCGTGTTATTTGAGTAGTTTTTCATTAACCCCTTGTCTTTGTAACAAAGTCCTTCCTTGTCAGCGACTTAAGGAAGCACCTTTAGTAATGTGCTTAAAATAGGAAAACGTTCCTTGAACATTTCTCAGTGTTTCCTCGTATTCTTTGTGTTTGAAATTAATCATGAACTGTAAATAAACATTAGCACCGTTGCGGTAAAGAAATAATGAATGGTCAAAGTTTTTATAAGAAGAAAGGAAAAATATTTTCTTTATTAGGTACTAATACGATGCCATAAATGCATATTTTATTTTATATTATGTTATAACTTGTTAGTAATGTTATAGGGTAAAACCTTGAAAAAGGGTAAAGCCTAGCTTCTTAGGGAAAAAGTTGAGAATATCAAATTATTACCTCGCTAAAACCACTACTCTCTAAATTGACCAGCTCTAGAGTGTTTCTATTAGTCCTTTATGGAACAACTCATTTATTTTAATCTTTATTTTTAGTACAGAAACTTTTTCAATAGCGAAAATGTAACCCCCAAGATTGAATATAGATAGAATTAAAAATTATACTAATATAAATCTAGCCTACCCTCAACTTTAAGCCTATAATAATAATAATTTTCAGAAGCTTCTTAGTCCCTACCGATTATGGATAAGACAGAATACTGTTATAAAAACCGACATCAAAATATTGACCGGCTTTGTGGTTGTACCAACTCATTATCAAATAACTTTGATTTTCGTCCCAAACATATAATTTATCACAATCTATTATCAACTGCACTGTTTTCTCTCAAAATATAAGAAGTGATAGTATTGTAACATAAAACTCTGCTCTGTCATCCATTTGTTGTAGCAATGATTGATGGTAATGAAACATCGATGTTATCCACTTTTATAGCTTTTACCGATATGAAATGGATAGACGAATTCAATTAGTCCAACTGACAGACATGTCTATTCTATTTTAAAGGATACGTGAATGACCTTCGACCTTTTAGTGCCTTTTACAAAATGAAGAAGCACTATAGTGTGTTTATATAGAAAAGGAAATAGGGTTCTTTATATTTCTTCACATTGATGCTAATTTCAAGCATGGAAGCATACTTCAATTGAGCACTTGTGACTTAAATTAGCATACTCTTTTCAGGCATGTTTGCGAATCGACAGGAGTTAATAATAATAATAGTGCTTAACTTTATAATGCTCTTTTAGAGCATGGATTCAATATCTAGACTAGACTGCCTCGTTGCCCAAGTGCCAAGTGGTCGCAAGTGCGACTGCTGGGCAAGGGGTCTCGGGTTCGATCCCCGGGTCGCTAAGTATTAATGGGTTTTTAGAAAAAATCTCAGTAGTAGCACGGAGTCTGAAATTGTGCCTGGTATATACCAGCAGGTATTGCCATATGGCAATAGGCTCACCCATGGGACTCATAACATAAATAGTGAAAAGTGAGTGTTATATTGTATAGTGGCATAATGTGCACCTCTACCTACCCCTTCGGGGATAAAGGCGTGATGTTATGTTACAATAATTCCGTCCAATGCCACTACTTACGTGACAAAATAAAATAGTAAGAAATCTAGGCTAACTTAAGTGCTACTAAAAATACTTGAAAAGAAGTAGGCACGATTACCTACAGCCTATTTTGTAGTATAATTAGGATTTATAGTTCAGCTAGAGGGTCGCCATTGAAATTCTTTCCTCGAACTTTCTTTTTATTGCTGTAAAGGGTTCTTTAAAACCTTTTTTCTTTGTGAATTCAGTAGTAAACAGACTTGAGTTACTGTAGTAGGTAGGCCTTTCATGAAGGCTTAAAACTTGGAAAAGTAGAAATAAGACTACATAAATTGTAGTTTGTTCGAGTATTGTCAATTTTTTATGTTTTTGCAAAGTTAAATTTTTGCGGCATGGGACTCTTGATTTTTAAAATACATACTCGATTTTACTTTCCGTGTCTTAGCCACATACGAAAATTCAAGGTTCGTATTTAACACTAAATATGAAGTTTAACACTAATAATTTAACTAAACAACTGGCTATAAAGTTTTCTTTTCGTTAACTTATTGTTCAGGATTGATAGTAAGAAGTTACATAGATCACCCCAATGAGCGACATGCTCATGAAAGTAAATTCGCATCTATACTGATAAATTTAATTGGAGTGTCTGTTTTAATATTAAATTAAGCGTTTTTTACTACATGCATATGAATATGAATATACGTACAATACACATACCAAAATAGCATTTATTTACAATTTTTGTCTGTCTGTTTGTACCGGCCAATATCTGAAATTACTGGACCAATTGTGACGTGACTTTTACTAGCAGGTTTAATAGTAGTAAATCACTTTCTGTACAAGACTACTGGAAGTGTATTTATGAAATCCAAGTTAATGCTCGAAGCATACATAAATTCTATTAAACAATTAGTATCTATTATATCACTTCTATTTTATTTACACGAAGAAACTAACTCGTATTATTAATCAAATATCATTCTAATATATGCCATTATCAACATATTATTCTAACGTAAATTATTGTACAAATCAGCGCACGATTAAGAACCTGTTCATTGCAACTGGGCCAAGTACATTATGTACTATGTCTAGTACATTATATACATTCGAAATTATTTCCTTCTCTGTACCCTGTAGCCGCGTCAATAACGAGATAAGCAAAGCCTTTTAGTGCAGCCTGATAACGCTTGAAGAGACAGTGTCAATATACATGACTATGTATTGTGTTGTATATAATACATTTAATTTGTTTTATATCTATATACTTTGTTAATAGTAACTTGTATTGGTTTTAATATTTATCTTTTCTACAACTAAGATACAAAGAAGTATCTGAAACTTAAGATAAAACTGTACGGTGCGTACACTTGCAGAGATGTTGTTGACGTTGGAGCGCGAAGAGAAAAGATTCACTTAGTTGGATTTAAAACATTTAGTGCCGATTTTTTCAATTATCATTCTCAACTGAAGAATAAAATTGTCTGTTGACAGGTTTAGTATGGAAGAATTGTCAAAATTCAAACTTATTCCTCTGATAAAATTTAACTGAGCATTGAATAATCGACCCTTAATTGTACAATAAAACTGTTGACGATTCCTTTCTCTAATGTTAGTCACCGCGTAGTTGTAATTGCACTCAATGATTTATTATGTTGTATCGGTATTTATAGAAAAAAAATATGTACGTCATTCTTTTTAGAACTGTACAAGTAGAATGAAAATCTTTTAAAAAAATATATGAAACAATTGTACTATATTACTTTAGTTGTGTTGCTGACTTCTTGAATCAATGTATTAGTCTGTGTTTATAAAAATAGAATTGAAAAGTGTTTTCTTTGAACTTTGAACACAAGAAAATATCTAACTAACTGGCCGTCCAGTCTGATAGTCTGATATGTAAACCACACGAATGAATAACATAATTGTGCCAAAAATATATCTATCGGCGTATTTATAAAAATGTGGATTAGGCACAATGTCACAAATGATAACATTACATTTAAAAAAAACACCGATTCAGGTATTTTTAAAGCACATGTATGACCCCAAAAATAATATAAATCTGTGTGTAAAACACTGAAAAGTATGTTTTTAATACAAAAGCAAATTTTCCAGCTCACCCAGTGGAGTTTGTTTTTGAAAAACGTTTCACGAATTGCTTTTGGCAGCGAGCCAATCCAAACTAGTCTTTGTCCCAGAATCAATGTCAATGAACCAATGCGCTGGCGCCTTTATTTTGCACCGTATGTGCGTGTTTTACTGGCTTTATTAAATTATTGACCCCACGCAAATGAAAACGAATTTCTTAAGTTATATTGCTTTCGTTTTGGCTGTGCTGAAATCTGTTGATATAAATGGCATGACCATAATAATTTATTTTATTTTTGGATTTACCATTACTGAAGTTTAAATTCAGATATTATTGTAATAAATATGTCGTGGTGGCCCGAAGGTTTAAGACGCCTGCTTCTTATACATGCGGGTGCGGGTTCGAAACCTACCAACGGCAAGTACCAATGTGACTTTTTCCGCGTTATATGTACTTTCTAATATTATTTTAGACACCACTGACAAACGGTGAAGGAAAATATCGCGAGGAAACCTGAGCTTATAATTTCTGATTATAAGTTTGTAATCGCCTACCCGCATTGAGCAAGCGTGGTGATTAATGATCTCCTTGAACCTTCTCCATATGAGAAGAGGCTTTGCTCAGCATGTATTTATAGGCTGTTGATGATGATTGTAATAAAATTAGTCAGAGGGAAAAAAAATAAAAATACAATACTAGGACATTCTAATAAAACCTAAAAAGATTTTATATATTTGTATAGGCATAGATAATATACCTAGTCCCCTATTTTTACAACAATGTAGTATTTAGTAGGCATTAAAAAAAGACTTTCCTCATCGGTTTAGTAAATCCCCAATTTAAATATATCAATATATATATTATTTTTCCTTCTTTGCCAAACTAGTCCAATCTATGCACTACTAAGCGACCCCAACAAATAATTCAGCAACTAAATTTGACCGCCTCATACTAACAAAATATCGAAGACAGCAGGCGTACGAACGAAAAAAAAAATATAAACACATCCCCATTGTATATTTTAAAACGAGAGCAATACTAACGTGTGTTGAAATAACAATGAATGATAAATGCTCATTGTTTAAATTATAACGTCATTGTGTGAGAATATCGCTTGTAAAACATCTTATTTTCAAACTGAATGCTCTAACACGTACTGTACGGCAATAAAATTATGAAAAGGACATTTCAATAAAATTATGAAATGGACTTTTCAATGGTAATTATTAAGGATATATGTGAAGGAAGGCCACGTGTAGAGTACTCTTAATGGGCGTGCTTGAATAGCCAAATGCATGGACGTGATAAAAGCTAAAGAATATTCCTATATTCACACACGTACGTAATATAATATTCATATATTTACATAACATAACATCACGCCTTTTATCCCCGAAGGGGTAGACAGAGGTGCACATTACGGCACTTAATGCCACTGTACAATGTAACACCCACTTTTCACTATTTATGTTATGATTCCCATGTAATAGGGGGTGAGCCTATTACCATATACCGGGCACATTTCCAGACTCCGTGCTACTACTGAGGTTTTTATAAACCCAGTAATACTTTGCCCGACCCGGGAATCTAACCCAGACCCCTCGCCCGGCAGTCGCACTTGCGACCACTCGGCCAATGAGGCAGTCTGTTCATATATTCATAATATATTTACACATTCATGTGTGTACAATATTCGAATATTATGTATCGGAGAGATTGTAAAACATATATTTTTTTAAAGAGTAACGTATGGTGATACTTTCTCGTTCTTCTCAAATCGAACCTTCTTTTTGGAACGAGCACCTAGTTTCAATGACTGACAGATTATTATTTATTTTATATTTTTTGAAATCTTTAATAGAACCAAATTATCGTTTTTTTATTAAACTACATATAATGTAGTACTTTTGCCAGGGAAAACAATATTACTAGAATCTAACTAATAAAACAAGCATAAATGTATAATTCTTATACAAACAACTAATTGGTTGGTTGGTTATTATTGCGACTACTGATTATGAAGTTCAAGGTTCAATTCTCGGCTTAAGCAGAAGTATTGTAAACATTAATTTGAAATTTTTCAACACGGGATTTCAAGTCAAATGAATAGACCTGCACGTGAATGGTCTCCTTTAATTACCTAATTTTATTATTAAATATTATAGTATACAAATGCACAACTAATTATATCCTTTTGTGTTTTTATAGGTGTAGAAATCTATCGGAGTACATGAAAATAGCTGAGAAAGTGAAGGAGTTCTTCCACAACGAGGGCATACACTCGACCACTATACAGCCGGAGTTCGTAGAGCTGCCACTAGGTGGAAATGAGGTAAACACACATATTTTTATAAAAAAACAACCTTAATTCTATATGAATAAAAACTAATATACAATGACATTGTGAGGTAACCATGCTTACGATATAGGCAAATGTTTTATAAAAATCAACCTTAACAGGTTGGAAATATAGGTTAATTTAGAATGGAATATTGTCTAAAATAAGTTTTATCTCCGAAATCATAATTTTGTCATTAAATAAGCCTAGGACATAAAGTAATTATTAGCCAAACAAGATTATCGTGTCACGGAATAGTAAATATCTTAACGATTGCTTATTCGTTACGTTATCGTTACGATAACGGCGGAATATCGATTGTATTATATGAAAGTCGTTTTTTCCGTTATCTGAAAGCCGCTACTTACAAAGTGCCGTGTTATCTTTAGTTATTAAATGTTTTAATACGACGAGCTATTTATGGCTTGAAAATACCGAAATATTTTCATTTACACACCAAAGGGTTGTTATAGACACCTTAACGGTATTAATTAGTATTAGTGTAGAAGAATGTGATTTATATTTTGATCCATGTATCTTGGAGGACTATTAATTAGTTTTAGTGTAGAAGAATGTGATTTATATTTTGATCCATGTATCTTGGAGGACTATTAATTAGTTTTAGTGTAGAAGAATGTGATTTATAATTTGATCCATGTATCTTGGAGGACTATTAATTAGTTTTAGTGTAGAAGAATGTGATTTATAATTTGTTCCATGTATTTTAAACTGTCAAACACCAAGCGGTCACCGGTGACCGCAACCTATTGTTCTATAATTGTGTCTACAAAACCGGTACTCGACGA